TACGTATTGATTGATTCGGGTTCTACGCATTCTTTTGTGTCCACTATATTTGCCGAGAAGTTGAGTAGAGAATTAGAACCCCTTGATTATGTATTATCTGTGTCTACTCCATCTGGGAGAAATATGATTGTTACATCCATTTATAGGGCTTTGTATTGTTTTGAAAGAAATCTTGGATATCAATCATGCAAAACCTTTATTTCTAATATCATTCACTGAGTATCCAAGCTCACCCTCTCTATATATATGTAGGTGATGAACAAGAAGGCATTGAGGCCTAGACGTGATTGCCGATGTGATTTGGGTGCTTTGCCGACATGTTTTGGATTAGCATTTTTTGTACCGTCTTGAAGATTATGCTTCTCGGCTTGTTTTTCATTTGAACTTGTATATGTCGGCTTGAGAAGCCTTTTGGTCAAGATGTGTTTTGTATCTCATTTCCTTATTGTATTTAAGTTGTAAGACGTTATAAAGATGTATGTCATTTCATTTGACTTATGCACTGCTCTTATGGACTGCTTGTATCTTGAATTATTGCTTCCGCACTTGTAAGCCCCCTATTTAAATACTCTGATTGTGTGTAATTCTTGTAAGTTGGCCTTCGGTAATTACGGATTACTGGCCATCACGGCTCCAAACTACTAGGGGCGGTTTGGGGGCGTGACAGTAGCTCAGGTAAACCAGCATATAAAGAACAAATCCTCTGGCAAAGGCAGCAGTAGCCAAAGGAAGAAGAAGAAGTAACCAGTTTCAGTTGGTTGTGGTCTTTTTTTGTCACCTCTCCTTTTTTGTATCCCAATGACTGTTAAAATTGCTTCATGGAATGTTAGAGGATTGAATGATCCCTCTAAACAAAAAGAAGTTAAGAATTTGGTATCTAAAGAAAATGTTCATGTCATGGGAGTTTTGGAAACTAAAATAAAGCAACCCAATGAGAGGAAAATTTGTGGAAAATGTTTTGGTAACTGGTCTATGCTCTCCAATTCACAACCAACTGAAACTGGGAGAGTCTGGGTGTGCTGGAACAATGATTTTTGTGATCTTCAACTGATTTCCATGTCAAATCAGCATATTTTGTGTAAAATCCTTGACTTGGCTACAAATGAATATTTTTTTGCTATTTTTGTCTATGCTGCAAATAAGCACACTTTGAGGAAAGTAATTTTTGATACCATGTTTAACATCTCCCGTGCTAATTCCAAAATTCCTTGTATTTTCTTGGGTGATTTTAATGCTATAAGATACCAACAGGAAAAAATTGGGGGTTCTCCTTCCTGGACCTCTGAAAATGAGGAGTTTAATACTTATATTAACGCATCTGAATTGGCTGATCTATCTTATGGTGGATGCCAATTCACATGGGCTAATAAAAGGAGTGAGGGAGCTTTCATAGCGACCAAGATTGACAGAGTTCTGGTTAATGAGGCCTGGCTGGATAAGTTTCCTGAGGCTACGGCTACTTTTCTCCCGGCTGGTATTTCTGATCACTCATCTGTTGTGGTCAACATCAGTGTTAACAGTAGCTCCTTTAAGAAACCTTTCAAATACTTTGACTTCTGGTCTCAACACCCAGATTTTCTTAGCACTGTTTCTAATACCTGGTTTCAATATATTCGTGGTGTCCCTATGTTCAGAATTTGCCAGAAGCTGAGACAACTCAAAGTCAGCCTTAAGCTTCTTAATAAAAAAGACTTTAGTGATCTGTCCACTCGTGTCCTTATCTCTAAGGCTAGTTTGGATCTTGCTCAAATTAAGCTTGATAAGGATCCTTTGAACTGTGAGCTTCAATCTGAGAAAAGAAAGGAGTTGAAAAGATACATTGATCTGAGCAATTTGGAAGAGTGTCTTGCTCTTCAAAAATCCAGAGTCCAATGGCTTGGTCTAGGGGATAGGAATAGCAGCTTCTTTTTTAGGTCTGTTAAAAGTAATATTAATAGAGGTAAAATCATGAGTGTGGTTATGGAAGATGGTACTAGGTCCACTAAGATAACTGATATTCATGATACTTTTGTCCAGTTCTATACCAAGCTGTTTGGTACCCCTATCTTGGGGGAGTACAATGGTCTTGAGCGCATTAAATCATTGGTGAATAAAAAGGTTTCCAATTCTCAATCGGCTCTTTTAGCTAAACCTATTTCGGATGCTAAAATCAAGGAGGTTTTTTGGTCTCTCAAAGCCAATAAAGCTCCTGGCCCTGATGGGTATTCAGCTGGTTTCTTCAAAAGCTCGTGGGATATTGTTGGGAAGGAGGTTACCCTTGCCATTAAGTCATTTTTTGACTCTGGTAAACTCCTCTCGGAGATCAATAGCACCATCATTGCCCTTATTCCCAAAATTCCTAATCCTATGAATGTTGGTGACTATAGGCCTATTTCTTGCTGCAACACCATCTATAAATGCATTGCCAAGATAATAGCCAATAGAGTCAAATTGGTGCTTCCTGATCTTATTGATCCTGTGCAATCTGCTTTTGTCCAGGGTAGAAGAATCTCGGACAACATCTTTCTGTCCCAAGAGATTATGAGGGGTTACCACCGGAGTTCCAAAACTCCGAAGTGCGCTATGAAAGTGGACATCATGAAAGCCTATGATACTGTGAGATGGGAGTTTATTATTGATATCCTCACTGCTATGAACTTTCCTCCTTGCATGATAAATTGGATCAATGCTTGTATGACTAGTCCTTCTTTCTCTATTTGCATTAATGGTAGTCTTCATGGGTACTTTAAAGGGGCTAGGGGCCTTAGGCAAGGAGACCCTATGTCCCTTAATCTTTTTGTGTTGGCTATGGAGGTTTTGGCTAGAATTCTTGCTGAAAAGTCTAGAAACCCCCTTTTTCAGTTCCATTGGAGATGTGAGAAGACTAAAATTGTTAATTTGTGTTTTGCTGATGACCTTATGATCTTCTGTAGAGGGGATCCGGGGACCGTCAATCTCATCATGCAAGGTTTGGAGGAATTTAGGAACTTGTCCGGTCTCACTCCTAATCCTAATAAGAGTAATATTTATTTCTCCGGATGTAGTAGTGAGCTTAAAGCTAACATTTTGCAAATTGCCAAATTCACTGAGGGCTCCCTCCCTGTGAAATATTTGGGTGTGCCTTTGATCACCACTAAGCTTAGAGCGTCTGACTGCCAAACTTTGGTTGATAGGATGACTAAAAGGATCAAAAGCTGGACTAATAAATTGCTATCTTATGCTGGTAGAGCCCAACTCATCCAGTTTATTCTTTTCTCGATGCAAGTTTATTGGTCTTCCATTTTTATTCTCCCTAAGAGGGTTATCCGCGACATTGAAAATCTGCTCAGATCTTTCTTTTGGTCTGGGACAGAGCTGAAAAAGCATAGTGCTAAAATTGCTTGGAAGCATATTTGCAAAAAAAAAAAAAATGAGGGTGGGCTTGGTTTTAAGGATATGGGGATTTGGAATAAAGCGGCTATAGCCAAACTTATTCACCCAAAAAAAGGCTATAGCCAAACATGTTTGGTATTTGTTTTTGGGTGGGGAAGGTTCAATGTGGTGTCAATGGGTTAAGTCCTACTTACTTAAGGGTAAGAGTTTTTGGGGTATTAAGATGCCCAGTGATCCATCCTGGGTTTGGAGGAAACTTTTATCGCTCAGGGATTTAATTTTCCCTATTATCAAATTCAAACTTGGTAATGGTGAAAATGTGTTCCTCTGGCATGATAACTGGCACCCCTTTGGTTCGCTCTTGCTTCGGTATGGTCCTAGGATTTTGTATGATACCAACCTTCCCGACAATTCTAAGGTTAGTTCAATTATCTCAAATGATTCTTGGAACTGGCCTTTTCCTAACTCTTAGGAGATACAGGAATGGATTGCTGCCACTCCTCCTTCTCTTAAACCTTCCCTTGATTCCCCTGATATTCCTGTGTGGAGTCTGACTGCTGATGGCTCCTTTTCCATTCACTCTGCTTGGGAATGTTGGTCTAATCTCATTTGGGGTCCTCCTGTTATCCCTAGGGTTAGTTTCATTGTGTGGCTGGCTATCCATCAGAGACTTAACACTGGGGATAGACTCCAAATCTTTGGTCTTCTTACGAGCCCTAGCTGCCCTTTATGTTGTGCTCCTAAGGAAAACCATTCCCATCTGTTCTTTAGGTGTCACTACTCCTCTAGGATTTGGGCTGTTATCCAAGCTAAGTGTAATTCCCATTGGCCTTCTTTGCCCTGGTTGGAACTTGTTGAGTTTGCTACTAAATCCATCAATGGTAAATCTCTGAAATCTGTGATTATGAAACTCTCTTTTCTCTGCACTTTCTACCACATTTGGATGGAGAGAAATAGTAGAATCTTTAGTAAGGTTTTCAAACCTGAAGAGGTTGTCACTAACTCTATCATCCAAATGGTCAGGGGTAGACTCCTTTCTATGGAAAATGTGAAAGCTTATGCAGGTGACAACCGGTATCTGGAACAATGGAACCTTCCTTCTAAAATCCTGTTGCAGTCCCAAACTGCTGCAGCCGAAAGGAATTCGAGTGGTGTGAGTATTTTCCCTACCATTGAGGGTTGAAGTGATGGTGAGGCAGATAAAAGTGTTTTGTTCTACAAATTGTGCTGGTCTTGCAGTTGGTTGTTAGTCTCAGATCTATCAGCTATTATGGTTCCAAATGTTTACAAAATCCTGAAGCTAATGAAGGGGAGGGTTGAGTGAATGTGAGCCAGTACAGTTCCTCTTTGTAAATGTGGGTTGAGTGGGGGGAGGAAAGTACATATTTTTAGACTAACAATGTACTATATAATAATATAAAATTTTGGTTTACATGGAATTCTCAAAGTACATTGTTCAGGCTGGCTGGAAGGAGAAGAGCAACGAGATATGGGGCCGAGTGATGGGATCTTCATTGAAGTGGAGAGCTCTCTTTTATTGTGGTCCGAGTGAGGGGAGATCCTATACTGAATGCCTTGTTGTTCTTTCTTCTGTATGAACTCAATATATTGTTATGGAAATTCCTCTCTATTATAATGTTGAACAGGTTAAAGCAGCAACATGTAAGGTGGGATTGCTCCTGGCAGTTTCTTTCGGATGGTTATTGGATTGGGCTTTGGCTGCAAGTAGTTTGCTGTTGGTGACTATCCTTTGGGCATTGGCAAGCAATCTGTGGCCGGGTTTTTGCCCTGGGTGGTGTGAAAAGGTGGCTGCAATCAGCGCCCCTCTTTGACGTTGTACGCTGTGTGGGATATGCTCTTCGGTGATGGCTGCAAGTTGCGCCTTGCCCTAAGGCATTTTCAAGTGGAGTTCCATAAGCTATTTTCATTTCTGTATGTACATATTCTCGTATAGTGTGTTTGAATTTTTTGTATACAAATTTTGTCCCCACTTTGGGCTGTTTTGTCTTTTAGTTTCTGGTCATCGTTCGATGCTAAGTATTGGGCTGCGTGTTTTGTTGGTTCTCATGCTGGTCCTTGTTTTTTCCCTAGTTCGGTGCAACTGCTGGGCTGGTGTTGTTAATTGTGCAAAGAACCCTGTCTGTTGTGGGGACAGGTTCTTGAACAATTATTAATGTTCTGGCTTAAGTCGTTTTGGCTTGCGTGTGTCCCCCCGGTTCTATGGGTTTGGTAGGTTTCGTTTTCCTTTTCAGTTTTTTTTTTTTTTGGGTGAATAGTCATAAAAAAAACACAAAAGATTACACAATTTACAAGGGGCCATGCCCCATGGCCTAACCAAAAACAAAAAACCACAAAACAAAAAAAACAAAATAGCCTTAGATCAACAACCGACACAGACGAAACATACAAAAATGTTCATGTGTCCCATAATAAACATATGGGAAGAAATGAACACAATCAGACAGGTTCGGCGACCATACAGCCAGCTTAAACATGCAACATCCCGCAGTTAAAGCATAAGACCAAAAAAAATAAACAAGCATTCATCAAGGCTTTGGACAACCAAATAATCAAAATAAAATAAGAAGCAAAAAGGTTCCTCACATTCTGGACATTCCAGCGGTCACAGTAAAGCAAAAAAACAAGAAGTCCATCCCGTGGCTGTCCCATTTATCAAGAGAACCTAGGATGCCTATCCACAGATCTTGCTCCTATGCAAAGAGAACCTGTCGAGAGAAGACCAAGCACAGGCACCAGGCTTACCAAAGTCCACAGTACGAAAAACCAAAAAACAACAAACACAGAAATGCCGTGCCATCCCGCACCGGATAGGCCAAAAGGAATTAACACAGCAAACCGAATTTCATAATGTTCCAAGCCCGTAAAAGGAGTTAAAATAACCAGGAAGAAAGCACTTCAGATAACCAATGTAGCATCCCACACGGCTAGGCAAAAGGAGTGACAACCTAGCAAAACACTCATAGTCCATACACAGTCAAATAAAATAAAAAATAAACGAAAGACAAGTAATCCACAAAGGCGCTACAAGCAGCCATCAAACATTTGCCAAGGAAACACGACCACCCCATAGTGGCCATCGAACCCAAAGCAGTTCATACAGCCCCAACAAGAACTCAAACATTTTAGGGGACCACAGCAGCCTGATCTGCCCAGCATAGAATTGCATAACAGCCACATCCTTCGACCGCGTAGCACTATCCCTATCCCAAGGCAGCCACCATATTGCTCTAAACATTGTAATAGACCTGTAGAAGAAATCAGAAGTGAAGTATATCCAGTGATACCAAGGACCAAACATAGTAGCAGCACACTTCAATGTAGGAACTCTCAACACTCGGCCCACAGTTTTAGGGGCTCACACCACTCGAAATTAGCTTCTTATCCTGCACATAAAATTTACAGATATATTAGTCATTAGTAAAAATTTTGTTTATGGCTAACATCACCGACCCACAATTAATTTGGAGACATATAAAGTAACTTTCAATCACCTCGACCCTCAAAGCTAGATAGATCCACTTGGGACCCCGAGAATGCCGCAAAAGAAAAAAAAGCTTAAGTACATAAACCCTCATATAAGCTCACCATCTCTCCGACCACATTTAGTGAACTCACATCACTCAGCAGCCCTCGACCATTTCTGATGCTATGGGGCTTCAGAATTGTCTCTCCGGCAAACTCCATTTGTCTAGAAACCATTGTCACACATTGGATCTAGGAATATTCTAAGTGACAGCATTCTATTTCTAACCATTTGGATAAAGATTTTAATGAACACCTCTTCAAGGTTTTTAGCTCTTTGTTAAAGATTCTGTTATTTCTCTCAATTCCAGATTCAAATGTAAACAGAACACAAGAATGCATTACTAATGATATTCGCCCATCAAAGGTAACTCTAGTCTCCTTAGAAGCAAAGATAACACTCTCAGGCCCAGCCAAGGACAGGGCCACTTAATGTTACAAGCAGCTTTCATGGCACAACCAGACTCTACTAGAGGAAGATGCAATCAAAGAATAGATGAGGTGGTTTCCTCCAGGTTGGAGGAAAAAGGGGCATTGAAGAAAAAGTGGACAGGGCCAAAACATACGGAGTCTATCACCAGTGTAAAGTCTATATTGTGGACGAGCCACACCAAACATGAAGCTGACTTTAGGGATTCCTGTGAGTGGCCCCACACAAGCTTATCCAAACCAATTTAATCGAATTTTCTTTCTCCAATTGGTTCCAAAGCTGATTGATGGAAAACTTACATCATTTAGTGGTAAGATTCCAAAATAGGCTTGATGCAGTGTGGAAGGATTAGGATGAAAACACACGGAGTAGAGGAGATTCAGCTCCTGAATTTCCCAACGAATTGGGAAAAAGGCCAACTTCCAAGAAGACCCCTGCAATGATTTTACTGACTTTTGTTATCACTGTTAAGGGCAGAACATAAATAATTCTATCCCCGAATTTGTTACCAAAGAAGGACCAATGGGGTGGCCAATTATCAAACCAAAGGAAGGTGGTGGTCCCCACACCCCAATCTATGCTTAGATCGTGGAAACCCACTTCCTAAGAGAGCTAGTTTCCGGCCACACCAAAGAGGGATCATTTGGAACCTTAACTATTCCAGAAACTCTCCCTTTAATAAAAGGATTTGACCCACTGACACCACATCGATCCCTCAACCCCCAGAAAACAAAACCAAATGTGTTTAGCTATGGCCGCTCTTTCCAAAAAATATTTCTAAAGATTTAAAGCCCAAACCTCCCTCATTTTTCGGAGCACACACAGAATCCCGGCATTTTGGCACTATGAGTTTTTAAGATCAGTACCAGACCAAAGGAGGCTCTAAAGATACTCCTCAAATCTCCCGAATGACCCTCTGGGAAGGATGAAAAGGGAGGACCAAGTAACACTTGGCATAGAAAAGAGAATGGATTGAAATGAGCGGCTTCTACCAGCGTAAGACAAAGCTTTATTGGGTCCACAACAACTCTTTCCTCGTTTTTGGTGATCCTAATCAATGAGAGAACCACAATCAGCAGCCCTCAAACTTAGTGGTGATTAAGGGGGACTCCAAGGTAGCCCAACAGGAAGGTCCCAACATTAAACTTAGCAATCTCAAGAATAAGAAGCTCTCAACTCAAATCACACCAGAAAAGTAGATGTTACTTTTGCTGGGATTGGAAATTGCCAGATAAGGATGGGAAAACTCCTCAAGGCCTTCCATAATGAGGCTAACAGTAGGAGGCATCACCCCTACTAAAGATCAAATAAGATCATCGCGGAGCAAGATTAATGATGTTTAGTCCTTGTCGCACTTTCCATGAACTTAAAAGAGGGTGCTTAGCTTTCTCTCCGCCAAAGATTTTGGCAAGGATTTCCATGGCCAAAACCAAATAAGTAAGGGACATGGGTCACCTTGTTTGAGGCCTCTAGCACCTTTAAAATTAGCCATGAAGGCTACTATTGATGCAAAAATTGAAAATGGAAGGGCTAGTGATGCAGGCCTGGATCCAAAGGAAATCAATGAACATGGGGGGGAGGAAGGAAAGGCCCAAATAGCCTTGAGAAATCAAGTATAAACCCGCATCTCACACTATCATAAGCTTTCATTATATCCACCTTCATAGCACAAACTCGGGAGTAGAGGAGTGCCTGTGATGACCCCTCAATAAGCCCTTGAGATAAGGAAGATATTATCAGAAAATTCCCTCCGACACTGAACAAAAAGCTGATTGAACGGGTCAATAAGATCAGGGAGAACGGAACTTAATCCTGTTTGGCTTATGATCGG